TTTGAGGAACCACCCTAAGTTCAGCTTGTTTAATAATAATAATGTCGGTGATAATAATAAGTAAAATGTAGGTCAATTAAATCAAGAAGGAAATAGAAATAATCCTTAGCAACTTATAGTAAATTCTAGACCTTTTTTTCCCTTAGGTTTTGATCAACCCAATCAGTTCAAAAATAAAAAAATGCCATTGGAAGAGATAGTAATTCAAATGCGAATTTAATTACATGATCAAGTTACAACCCTTAGAAAAATAAAAAATCAGATAGGTTGCTCATTAGTTTGATCAACAAGCATAATATGAATAGTAATTCAATAATATCCAGCTGAGGAATGGAAAATATTTGGTTACCCCTTACAAGGATAACGATCAACTTCAAAATGATAATGGGGTAGAAGAGCCTGTAGAAGATCAATCACCTACCTAACAACCTGAATTAAGCAAAGAAATAAATAGACTTATTAGGAAGGTTATAGAGAGAACACCGCCACCCTTTCCTCAAAGATAATCAAGAAAAACTTGAATAAGAAATTCTTTAGGTTCTTAGTAGTATTTAAAAAGTTAACTATAAACATTCCTTTCTTTGAAGCCTTATAGTAGATGCCTACTTATGCTAAGTTCATGAAGGATATTCTGAAAAAGAAAAAAAGTTAGGAGAGTTTGAAACTATAACTTCAATTGAGAAGTGTAGTACAATTATTCAAAAGAAACTTCCAAAAAATTAAAAAAATCATGGTATCTTCACCAATTCCCATAATTATAAAAGATAAAAATATGTGGTAAATCCTTGTTTTATTTTGGATATAGTATTAATTTTATGCCCCTATCCATTTTCAAAATATTAGATGTAGGAGAGGTTCAACCTACCTCTCTCAACCTTCAGCTTGTTAATAGATCATTAATTTATCTTAGGGGGGTGATAGAGGATGTTCTTGTTAATGTTGCTAAATTTATTTTTCATGTTCACATCACTATTTTCAACATGTAAGATGATAGGGGGATACATATTATCTTAGGAAGACCTTCACAGCGAGGAAGGCTATGGTTGATGTTCATAAAGTACAATTAACTATAAGAGTGTCAATTAATGTACTCAAATCTATAAAATTCTCTAATTAAAAGAATAAATATTATTTTAGAGCTAATTTGGAAGAAAATGTTATCGAAAACTTCAAGGAAGATCATTTAAGAAAAATTCATTGGAGAAATAATTGGAGAAAAGTGACGAGGATTTAGGAGAATTAGTTCAGATTATTGGAGATATTGTTAGGTTATTCAAAGAGAGACTTGAGACTTAAATACCTCATCTATGGGTAGAACTTTAAAATCAATTGTTGAGGAACCAACTATTCTTGAACTTAAAGTTTTACCCAATCATATTAAGTTCCTTTGTGCCTGTTATAATCTCTACTAATTTGAAAAAGGAACAAGAAGGCGAGATTTTTTAAGATTATAAAAAAGCTTTTGGGTTATCTATTATTAATACCAAAGTAATTTTCCCCTCATTATGTATGCATAGGATCCTAATGGAAGAAAATCTTGGACGCAAAGCTAACCCTCAAAGAAAACTAAATCCCTCTATGAAAAAAAATTGTTAAAAAAGATATACTTAAATGGCAATATGTTGAAATTGACTACATTTCAGGCAGTGCTTGGATGAGTCATATTCATTGTGTTCCTAAGAAGGATGATTTGACTAAAGTATCCCATGAACATAATGAGCATTATTTTATTAGAATGGTCACTTGTTGAAAATTTTGTGTAGACTACAAGAAGCAGAATAAAGCCACTTCAAAAGATCATTTTCCCTTACATTCCCTTTACCAAATGTTAGACATGTTGATAGGATACTCTTTTTACTATTTTATGGATGAATTTTAAGGATACCACTAGATTCTTATAACACATGAGGATCGGAACAAACCCACCTTCACTAATCCCTATGACGCTTTTACTTTTAGAAAAATGTCTTTTGATCTTTGCAATACTCCTACTTTTCAAAGATATATGATGTCAATTTTTTCAAACTTAATTGAGCAAGACATTGAAATTTTTACAATAAAGTTTTTATTTTTGGCCCTACTTTTGATTCTTGTCTTGATCATTTAACTTCTTTACTTAAAAAATACGTAGAAATGAATTTAGTGCAAAATTGAAAAAATATCAATTTATGGTGAGCAAAGGGATTATTTTAGAACATAAAATTTCTAAGAAAGAATTAGAGGTGGACAAAGCCAAGGTTTAAGTGATAGAAAAGCTACAACCTCCCACTTCAGTTAAGGGGATTAGGAGCATTTTAGGGCATGCAGTATTTTATAGAAGATTCATAAAGTATTTTTTTTCAAAAAACAAAATTCTAAACTATTATATTTTATTATTTGGAAAAGAAGTCTATTTTATTTTTGACACTACATGTCATGATCCCTTTAACACTTTGAAACAACATTTAATCGCTGCTCCTGTTGTTATTGCACCTAATTGGTCTTTTTTTTTTTCCTTTTATAGTCATATGTGATGCAAGTTATTTTATTGTAGGTGTTGTTCTTGGACAAAAGTAAGTTAAAAAATTTAATGTCATTTTTTATACTAGTAGAACATTGTCTCCACAATGTAATTATACTACCACTAAAAAAGAATTGCTAGCAATTGACTTGCTTTTGATAAATTTTGATCTTATTTGATTGGCAAAAAAGTGATCATGTATACTGATCATTCCACAATCAATTTTTTTTATGACAATGAAAGATACCAAACCTAGATTGATTAGTGGATTCTATTATTGCAAGAATTTGATGTCACAATTCTTTATAGAAAATGTACTGAAAATCAAATTTTTTTGTCATCTTTTAAAACTTAAATTAAAAAAGAACATATATTTAATGACACTGATATCAATGAATTTTTTCATGATGAACAACTCTTTGCTTTGCATCCACGTAGATTGCCTTCGTATAATAATATTATTAATTTTATTATAAGTCATCTGCTTCATCTTGATTTATTTCAACTCAAAAAAAATAAAAATTTTCAGGATATCAAAAACTGTTTTTGGGATGAGCTGCATCTATTTCAAATTTATAATGACCAAATAATTAGAAGATGTGTCTATGAGAATGAAGTACAATCAATAATTAAGGAATGCCATGACTTACATTACGGAGGGCATTTTGAAAATTTTAGAACTACTTCTAAGATGCTACAATCAAGATTTTATTAGCACACAATATTTAAATATATTAATAAATATGTTAAAAAGTGTGATCAATATCAAAGAGTAGAAAATATTTCTATAAGAAATAAAATGCCCTTAAATTATATTTAAGAAATTAAGCTGTTTAATATTTTAAAATTATGTCCATGATAGTCCATATAAGGCAAATTCAACTTCTTACCTAGCAATGTCAAAATATGACACGACCCGAAAATCTGAGTCGAAAACAAACCGAAAATTTCGAGTTAGGATCAACTCGGACACGAAACAGATCGGATTCAAATTCAACAAATCAACCAAATTCAAAAATCAAATTAGGTTCAAATTGATCCGAATAATGCCAGGCAAGTTCAGAGTTCGACCCGAACCCAACCTGTGGCCCTAAATTAACACCCCTACTCTTACCAAATGATTCTCCTCTATAAGTATCTAAATCCAACAAACATGAGCTTACTTTGACGGAAATGTTCTCATTTATTTCTACAAAATTTGGTAATAATTAGGTATGCTTACATGATCAAAACGTACTTTAGAATGAGTGATGATTAGTTCTATCCAAAACAAATCAATATTAAGATTTATGTTATGATTTTCTATAGATTGAGGGGAATTCAATAATTTCAATTGAAAATAATCATGAAAACTCTATATATGTTATCTTACAGATTTTAGATTTTTTTTTTTTTTGTGTTTCAATATTTATTTAATATTTTACAAATGACTAAAAAACAATTGCAGACAAATTAACAGACAAGACATCGAACTACGATTGATTTATTCACCAATAATTTAAATAGAACACCAAATAAATTTAGTATAATTGTATTATGGGCTTTGGACTAATGATCTAATGAATTTGGTGAAATTTTAGAGTTTTGTACATCAAATAATAAGAGGAATAAGATTGATGAAACGAAGGCAAATTCATTGGCTGTTTCTAATTGGTTTGATTAGACTTAAAATTTAAGGAAGATAATTGAATTTTTTTTAAATGGATTACACACTAGAATAAAAAAAATACAAAATTGTAATAAAGAAAATGGATAAAATAATAAACTTACTCATAAAAGTAGAGTTTCGAAGAGATAACCTAATCTCCTTTAGTTTGTAGGCAACCAAGTCTCCTAGCCTTGAAATTCTATCAAAAAATATGTAAACAAACCAAAAAATACTTCATTTCAATTTTAGAACGTTTTATACAACTGAAAACACAAATAAAATACACATCAATTCAATTTAAAATTAAAACAATGGAGAGAAGGAGAGAGGTGCAGACCCCTTGCTTGGAACAATTATTAGGTCCGGTGACCGGACGTAGAGCTACCTTTGGCCGGCACTAGATCGCGCCACGTAGCAGGCACAAAATCATGTATTTGTCTATTTTGCTCGGCAATAACGAGAAATACTATTATGTGAAGAAAAATACCGAGCAATACCGAACAACACCGAGCAATACCGAGTTTTTTCTAGAAAAACTCAGTATTGCTCGGTATTACTCAGTCTTGGTCTTCACAGAGCAGTATTTCTCGTTATTGCCAAGCAATACCTAGCAATACCGAGCCAATACCGGGTAACTCGGTGTTTACCGAATGTAGCTCTATGTCCGGTCACCTGACCTAATAATTGGGTCCACTAGCAACAACTTATAACCACCTACTCTCCCACAGTCTAATATGGCCAGCCCTTACATTTTTTTCATGACTTGGACTTTAACCTATTAAGCATTTAATATATATATATATATATATATATATATATCATCACCATAACCCTTACAGCACAAAATACATGAGATATAACCAAGAAAGCACAATCTAATTAGCAAGACAATTAACAGATGTATCTTAAACATTTCTTGTATGTACACGGGAGCAGGAAGGGGTGGAATTCCACTACACATCAGAGACGAATTTACAGAAAAAGAAAATATGCCACCCATATTCCTAATGAAACAATGCCGACAGTAACAAATGCTTGTCCTGCTTCAAAAAACATGTTGGGCCTTTGATCTGGCAGGTTTTGCCAATCTGTCCTGTATTAACGAAGAGAATCAAAAGGTATCATGATGCTTACACCAAAAAAACATATCAGGAAATGCAAAGGTCCGAGTCTCCTCAATTGTACACAAATTAGAAGACAAACTTGGATGCTATTAACTTCAAGTTAAGACAAAAACAAAGAGAATCAAGGAGTTGTTGATAATTAACACCTTAAGTCAGCAATCACGACGCTGATGTTGTCTTGTGATCTCCGGTCCTAAAAGAATAACGAATACATGAGTTCCACAGAAAGCCAAAGACGAATGTGTAAAGACTTCTAAACATTAGGACCTAATTTTATTGAGCAAGTACCAATGCGGCCTGCGCAAGTGCTTCACAAGCGAGCTGAAACACAAAAATAATAAACATAAAAAATTTGCAACTTCCATCTTCAGAAAATAGTCCTGCGAATGAATTTTGATAAAGCATGTACCTGAACATCACCATGTTGACGAAGATGATTCCTCACAAAGTTTACAGCATCAGAGCTGATATTGAACCAGGGAAGTGTAAGTATTTGCTCCAGAAATATTTGAAATAGAGAATATTGATTAGAATATCATGCTAATGAAAATTCACTCGTTAGAGATATGGCATGTGAACCTTTTTATGTAGTCCCATAAGCCATCAGAAGCTAGCAAGATAAATTCCACATCAGATCCAAGATATATGTGAGTGATATCTGGAGTAGGAGTTACCAAGTCGTCCTTAAAATTTATTCTGGCAACAGGACACGAGAAATTTCAGACGAGAAACCCATTTATGAAACATTGCCTCAACTAACTGGTTCCAACTTAACAGCTGCATCTAAAGGCTAATTATGCCCTCGGGAATCAAAACAGTGAAATTCCATCAACAATATCATCTTATCATTAAGCTTACTCTTAACTATTTTGAGTCAGCTATAACAAGAACCTTCATTCTCCATTTGTTGTTCTTCAGTGTTATATGAGAAATGAAACCAACTGTGCTCAATTTATTTATTTTTTAAATAACTTCTGCGCAAGTTACCACTGATCTACCCTAGAAAACTCAACTGCATTTTATTTGAATAACAGAGTTCTTAATTTAAGTTAAAGGTCTCAATCGCTAAGTGCAGTCTTTGACTTTGACAATTAATAAAAAACATGATCGTAAGTTTTCTCAGAAATTGAGGATGGAATGCTTGTGCGTGATTGAAGTGATGCCACATGAAAGATGCTTGGCATAAAGATGCAAGCATTGTTGTCTCTTGATAATGCAACACGAATTGAAATCAGGTTTAGAATTTTCTAATGCTACTAAATATGATGTTATGATCTTTTTCATGCAAAAGAAAATTGGGTATTCACAAATCTCAACTTCTCAATTAATCAACTAATTTTCTTAAGGAAAACATAAGATAGTAGAGTATGTCCAACTTCTAATGAAATAATCGTAAATATCCAAAATTTGCAGCAAAAAGCTGGAAAATATTAAATTAGAGAGAAAATAAACTTAATTTCCAAACAATCAGATTTTTTATCATAAGAATAGTAAACAAACCAATAACGAATTGAGTAAAAGAATAGAAAGAAAACAAAATACACAAGAAAAGAAAAAAAAATAAAACATAGTTATGAATTACATGCCTCATATGTCTATTTATTCTTCAAAAACTATGTTAGTAGAAAAAGCTAAAATTTGTCTGATCTCAATTTAGATTTAAATTAATCCTGATTTTAATTTTAAATTCATAAAATAGTAGGACCTGCACTACCTTAAGATTCACTCGTAGGCTGCAAAAACCCACAAAAACAAACTTTTTGGGCAACAAAATCAACCTGTTGAACGCATGAACAGGATCCACCAACCATCCACAATTCCACACAGTATCAAGGATAAGTCCATGCACAATCAACTAAAATTGCACAACCCTTTTAAGAAACCACGCGTCCATCCATTTCCATACACCACAACTCCATTTTTTTTAACTTTATCTTCTTTTTTTTTATCAACTAATCAATAACACTAAAGTCCACTACATAATACTAACAGCGGCAACACAAGATGTCAAAGACAACTGCCATCTTAACAGCATCAATTTAGCTGGCTTAAAAAAAATTGGCTCCCACTAACTTATGATATAAAACCCAACAAAAATCGACCATAATCCCTCAATATTTCATCGAAATTAAGCTAAACTAAATAAAAAATAAATTTATGCCAATAAATAAGCAAACCAAAGAAAAGAAATAAAATACAAAAATTTTCAGCAAAAACAATCATTTTTAGTCATATCACTAGTATGTCCTCAAAATAGAAATAACAAATATAATGAAGCAAAAAATAAAAAGAAAATACATAAACTATATATAAATTAATGTTTGATTTGATGCTTCAGGTGAGAATAAACACAAAGAACTCTAACAAATTTGTTTGGCTTCGACAAAGGTAGCTCTTCTTAATTTGGTATCATTCTACAGAGCAACCCATAAGTCATCACAGTTGGAAGTGTCTCACCAATGAATAAAATACTATTAAAATCCACAATCGACGGTGAACTCATCCCGTCATCCAGAATTACATTAATGAATGAGCTGCATAAAAGTATTGGTAAAGATTTGGATGTGGACTCACAAGAAAAAGGAAAGAGAATAGAATTTAAGAAATTGACAGTAGGCTGATGACATAATTTTTTGAAATTTTAAATTTTTAGAAACTAGTTCTAATGTGCTACACAATTTTAAATTATCTCACCTTTCTTTGCTTTAAATTTCTTAGAAGTGCTAGATTGAAGCTTTTGGATTTAAATGCACCATAACCTTGTCAATAGGCTTCACACATGTCATGTTTATATTAGTAGAAAATTAGTAATTATCACACTTAGTAACCTATGATGCACAGACACGGACACGGCGACACGGACACGACACGACACGGACACGGGACAAGTCAATTATTGAAAATATAGGACACGGACACGGGTTGGACACGGTATTACAGTTTTTATATTTTAAAATAGTGTATAAAAATTAAATAAGTATAATTTTAAAAATAATTTAGAAATAATAAGTAATTTAACTATAATTTATGCTTAAAATTATTAATATTAGGATGTCATGAGTCGGGCGTCAATGTCATTTATCAGTCATCGAGAGAAGAGATGACAATGCCGTCGAGACTTGAGCATTGATGTTATGCAGTAAATATTGATCGTCAATGTTAAAGGGCGCTTATCGTCGATGTTGAGAGAGCGTTGGTCGTCGATGTTGAGAAGGCGTTGGACAAAGATGAGATGTCAAGTTGTGGGTGTAGAAATTGCTAGCATCGAGCATCAATATAAAGACAGCGTCAGACTTTGATATGAAGATCGTTTTGAAATGTTGATGTTGTAACGACGCCAGACGTCGATGTTGAGATGATATCGGACATTGTTGTGAAATCAAAGTGGTGGTAACCCGCCAAAGAGAAATGAAAATGAAAATATTCGATGAATGGGGTATCAAGTGCGGACGATTGATTTGATGTTGTGAATAAGAAATAAGAAATTTAGTTTTTATATTTTAAATAAATAAAATTTTTAAATACAATAAATTATATTTAAAAAAATTCATAAAATATTTAGGATACGCGTGTCAGACAAGTGTGTCCAATTTGTATTTAATATTTTTTTAATTGGACACGTTTTCGGCGTGTCTGACACATGTCAGAGGAGTGTCGGACGCGTGTCGTGTCGAATACATATCGGACACTGCACGCCTCTTTAAGGAGAAGTGTTGGTGCATCATAGTTAGTAACTAATGTTATGCAAATATCCTCATACATGGCATGCAAACTATGCCATAGTCAATATGATAAGAGGCAAGTAATGAAAATACAACAATGATAAGATATATCCTAAGGAATATGATACAGGAGAGGGCAATTCAGCCCCCTTTGAGGGGCCCATCAAACATATCATCACATTTTTTAGGAGAGATTTAAGAAAGGGATTAATTAGGAGATATTTTTTAATTAAAAAGGGCTTATTTGAAAGAGATTAATTAGGCGATATTTCCTAATTAAAAAGGGAAAATTTGGGGCCTGAATTGAGAAGAACTTGGGAGAGGGTTGTTTTGTAATTTGTTATTTTATTGTTTGCTATAAGTAACAGGATTTATGTTATGTTTGTCTGGAGAATTTGATTTGAGAGTGCTATAGTTTTCTTTTTATGAGGGATCCCAGCAGTACCTAGGGTTTGGGAGAGAAGGTCATCCTCTTGAAAGAGGATCATTATATCTTGCTTTATACGTATTTGATTTTTTATCAATAAAAATAAGTATTTGGTGTTAAATGTCTTGGAGTTTGTTGTTGTTTTTGATACAAAAGAGCATCAAATTGGTATCACAGCCATGTCCTAAACAAAAATCTCAATTCTCTTCACTTCTTTTTCCTGCATACCTCTTCCCAGTGGCTGATTCTTGCTGTTTAAAGACCATAGTCGTTGATTTTTTTTTGTGGTTTCAAACTTAAATTTGTGAATGGCAGCAAAAAAGATTGATGCGTTAGAAGGATAAGTGGAGCAAATCAAATTTGGGATGGAGGAAAGATTTTCAACTCTGGAAAATCATATGGAGAGTTGATTGAGAGGGATGGAAGAGATAATAATGAAGCTCATAGAGATGCAATCCTAAGCCCCACCAATGGTTCTGATTGCTAATCCTCAATGCGATTTGGCCAGGGTTCCATTGGCTGAATCTAAGGAAAAGGAGATCGAACAGGAGGAGTTTGACAAGGCGAGTTTCTTCCATCAAGAACCACCCCCCAGAGCTCCAAGAAGGAGCGGATTAGTTTTCAGATGAAAGGACAACAGGAAGAGAGTGCTATGGTGTGATTTGTGAAAGAGGTGATAGGGCGACCGACCACTATGGGAAGCCATTTGGGCAAGGGGAGTGGACAATCGGAGAGGGAGGGTAAAGCTCTCGCTTGGTTCCAGTGGAGAGAGGCTAGATACCCAATCCGTTCATAGGAGGAGTTTAAGGATTGCTTGTTGGAATGTTTCCGAGCCATTCAACAAGGAGACTTGCACAAGCAATTCATTGCCTTAACATAGGAGGGGACTGTCATGGAGTATAAGGAGAGGCTTAAGATGTTGTTGGGGAGGTTGAGAGGAATTTAGGAGGCAGTATTAGAGGGAAATTTCATGAAGGGATACCATCATATCAGAATGAAGGAAGGGGATATACACAAGATAGCTTTCAGGACTCATGAAGGTCATTACGAGTTTTTGGTGATGCATTTCGTCCTCAACAATGCCCCAGCCACTTTTCAACCTCTCATGAATCAGGTTTTTTAGCCCTACCTGAGAAAGTTTGTCTTGGTTTTTTTTTATGGCATTCTGATCTATAGTCATACAGAGGTAGAGCATATGGATCAAATGAAGACGATACTAGAGACATTGAAGGAGAACTAGTTATATGCCAACCTGAAGAAAAGTTCGTTTGCACAACCACATGTGGAGTACCTGGGAATGTGATGAGCAAAGCAGGGGAAGCAGCAGACCAGTCGATGATTGAGGCTATGCTGGATTGCCCTTAATCTAAGAAGCTGAGGGAGCTGAGGGAGCTGAGAGGGTTCTTAGGCCTCGCCGAATACTACCAAAAGTTTGTGCAAAGGTATGGCATGATAGCATGGCCATTACTTTGCAACTGAATGATATTTTCAAATGGGGAGAGGCAGCTACGGAGGCTTTCGAGCAGCTGAAGAAGGCGATGACCAGT